TCTCTTTTTCTCTCTCTCAATGTCTCCTCTGTTTCACTGTCTCTTGAACTTTTAATTCATTTTCTCGGTTTCCCCTTTGTCCTCTCTCACTTTTGGTCCACACCTCTCCCACTGCCCTCCTGTCCTTCTCCCGCCACATGGTCTTCTCCTGCTTCCGTTTGGTCTCTTCTCACGTCTTGGTAGCCACGCTCTGTCCACTGAGTAACGTGGTCCCCACATGGTGGGGTCATTCTGGTCTGATTCTCCAGGAGCAGGGGAGCATGCGCTGACTTTCTTCTCACCCCTCTCCCCTTCCCCACACCCTGCACCCTCCTCCTCTGGGCGAGGACCCTCCTCCGACTCCCTCCTCCTACTGCATCTGTCTCCCACCCTCTTCCTTTCAGGGGGCTGAACATCTCAATCGCCCCATGTCGGCAGATCCTTTGCGGGTTGATATTTTATACCAGGTGTGTCTGCTTTAACTCTTCCACTTAAAAATTAAACCCATCTGCCCCAAACCAAAAACAGTCTCTCCCCTACTGGGGACAATAAATATTGATGACTTGAGGCATGATTGGCTTTTATGATGTTTGATGACAACTGGTATCAGTTACAGAACTTACATCATTTAAAAAAAAAATACAAAGCCCTAGCAGGGATGTTGCATGTCCACAGACATTATTAAATGTCAAAAGAAATCCATTTCCTTCCAGAGCCCCAAATCTAAACAAGGTGGGGGGTGCTGGAGGGGGCTGTGGTAGGGGAGGTTTGGGCAGCTTTCATGAGAAGAAAGAAGAACGTTTCTTTGCATGTCCACCCTCATCTGTGACAGTGGAGCTTTCCTACAGTCCCACTGTAGTGACCGCCACAAATGCTCCTCCTTGTCCTCACTGGAGAAACCGAGCCCACTTGACATCTCTCCTTCCCCCACGGAATGCTCTCAGATGCCTCCAGATGGGAGAAAAGGAGACCAGGAGAGCTGGGGAGCCGGAAGCCAAAGAGGAGGTGAGAACACTCATGTCCCTCTTTATTTTTGTTGTCAGAACAAAATCAGGGCTGTCTGGCACTGAGGTTGAAAGCAAATAAACCAAAATCTGGTGCCGGAGCCTACTGTGCTTCTATTTATATCCCTAAGAGTTAAATATAAATAGCTCTATTAAAGGGAAGGCTGGGGGGGGGGGCTGCCAGCATTTCTATTTAGAGCGTATTCAAAGTCATAAAAAGAAAGAAGAGTGGAAATATTTTACTGCTATTTTAAATGTATCTATGTGTTTTATGGAGCTGGATTCTGACTACCTAAGATACTTCCGGAGACTTATTTGGATATTTTTGGAGGAGTCATAAATTCTTGTGGTCTTGAGGGTGGCTTGGTGAATCAAACCCCTCAAGGCTTTTGTAATTGGAAAGGGCAACCTGGCTTCTTCAAGTTCCTAACTGATCTCCCTCTTGCCCCCGCCCTCATAGTTTATGAGATGGGAGAGGCAGACTCCTTTGTCATTCCAAAGAAGGTTCCGGAAAAAGAGAACAGAGCTGCAATGGGAATGCAGGGATTTCTCCTGAAGCCTGCATTTGTGAAGCAGCGTTACCATTAATATCCATCTCACAGGGTCCTTGAGGAGGTCACAGGAACATTGTTCATGGAAGTGGTTTGGAAGTGGGAATGGGTTGAGCGTTCTCTCCTCTAGAGAAACAGGGTGCCACTTACTTGGGGGCTTTGGACCAGTCACATACCCTCTCGGATCCTCTATTTGCCATCAGTGAGATGGAAATGATAATCCTTAGGTCTGAGGCCTTTGGTGGGGAGTGAATGACGTGTGTCTGCAGCTGCTTAGGAAGCAATGAAAGGCCAATGACACTGACCTTGGCTCAGGCCCGCTGCCAGGAGCTGCCCATGGAGAGACGGGTGATGGGAGAGCAGTTTCCACCATGAGGATACCAACCACTGGGCAGTTCCAGTCTTGAGACCTGAAGGCACCCCTCCAGCCTGGGGGCATTTCAGCACAGGTGAGGGAGAGTGGGAGGAGAAAGTTGAGACAGACTGTGGGACAGTAACTGGGCCCACTGGTTGTCCTTTATCCATCCGAGTTGGCCAAGGTCAGTGGAAAGGCAGGGATGGTGCTGAAAGGAAAGAATGAGGCCAAGTTTGGCTCAAGGAGGGGCACAAGGTTGGAACGACGTGTTGCAAGGCCTGGGATTAGGAGCTGGAGAGAAAAATGCGAGGTCCCTCAGGACTTCTTCTGGTGGCATTGTCCCCATGTTGACATGATTTGAGCTGTTTTGCCCAGTTAAGGCTGGAATGAAATGGGAATGCATGGAAGGTCCTGTCTGGCTCAAACAGGCCCTCTCGGGAATCCAGCTCGTTATCTGGGTGATCTTAGCCATCAGGGGCGGGGCGGGGGTGGGTTGGCAAGAGTGGCTCAGAAATGACTTTCTTGTGATCCATGCAGCAATTCCGTTCACTCTGCCAAACCAGAAATACCACTGACCCTGAGGTATTTGGCGTGGGTGACGTTCTGGATCCTTGAAGGGCACAGGGTTATAAAACGGAAATGGTTCCCTTAAAAGTCCACGTAGTTCTTGGAGTGGGAGTGCATGTGTGTGCATGCGTGCATGCAGAGGAGGGGGAGCAAGAGGCTCTCACCTCTTCCAAAGGAGCTTCCCAACCTAATTAAGAGCAAGTGCAAACAGACAGGGGTGGATTTCATAACAGCTGTGGGTTCTTCACCACTGACCACCTTCAGATTAACTGGCCCCCCACACACACCAGAAGTTGTCCCTTTAAGTGAGGTGGGCAAGCTCCAAGGAATTTAAGAGAATCAACGTGTTTTCTTTTCCTGGTTGCATTGCTTCAAATATTTCACTTCTTAAAGTAACCTTGGTTTGTTACCGGTAGATTTTTTTTGGTTTTGTTTTTTTGTTTTCTGTTTTGTTTTGGCTCTTTTTTATATTTTTTTCCTTGTAAATTTTTTTTGTTGTTGTTGTTAAGGTGAGAAAACCAGCTCCAGGAAAAAGAAAAGAAAGAAGGGGGGAAAAAAACCCCACAAAACCCCACAACTTGGAGTTGTCAGAGTCGGAATGCATATCAGTTATGCTAGGAGACAATGAAAACATCAAAAAGAGCATACAAGCCATAAAAAATTCAGGTCCTCTGAAGCAATGTGGGACACGCTTGGCTGTGCTCCTCATTTGCATGGCAGTACCCACAATGCTCCGCCAGCTCCCAGATCTTTCTGAGCAGCCCCAGTGTCTGAGCTCTGGGGAACAAAGCGAAAGGTTGGAGCGTGCTTGTGGGTAAGAGAGGTACTTTTGTGTCGGCTCCGAGGAGTCGGGCGGGTGGGGGCGCGGGAACCTCTCCCACCGTGGTGATTAGCAGGCAGCCCTGGAGGGCTTAATCATCGTCCCTGGCCCTTTGTTTTGTGGTTCTGTTGTGGGTTTTTTACCTTCCTCAGCTGGGCTGTCTTCCCTGTCCCCAGATGCGCTGCACCGCGGAGGCACGCTGTGCTGTGCGGTGCGGTCCGGGCAGAGGAGGGGGCCCAGCCTCAGAAGCCCTTCTATTGCATTCCCTGGAACTGGGTTCGTGTGCAGTGTGTTTCCCAAACTGGTCGTCACCTCAAGGGTACAGGCAGTCCCTGCTTGGTCAAGGTGAAAGCCGGATGCCACCTTGGCCGGATGCCGAGGGCCAGCGGTTCCCCTCAACCCTTGACCTCCACCTTCCTGTACCCACTGTGCTTTTCCCTCCGTAACTCGCTCCTTGGGTCCAGCAGAGCCATTGTCTGGATGCTCCAAAGCCCAAGGTGGTTTGGGGTGCAGGCGTCAAATTAAGAGCAGATGCAAGAAGAGCTGGGCGGAGGCCCCCTGGGTGTGTCCCGTGCACCGTCTCCTGTTCTTTGCCAAGTCCGCCCCGTGGTGTCCCGGGCTGTGGAGGGCCTGGTGGCTATTATTCCACTAGTGATTTTTAGCATGACCAACCGTTCTGGGGCATTACAAAATACATTAAAAAAAATAAAATAAAAGTAAAGCTCGATCTTTGAGGTTGCTACCTGGAAGGTTTTTGTCTGGGTTTGTACTTTGATTTTTGAGCTTGACTTTTCTCAGTGCTGTAAAAGAGTTCTTAGGCTAGATTAATTTAGCAGTAGGAAGGTCTGGGCAGAAGAGTTAACGTGGGTACGTGTGGGCCCTCAACTGCCTTCTGCAACCCCGAGCTTCAGAGGTAAGATGAAAGTCAGCCCCACCCAGAATTCAGAAGTGGGCTACCCGCGAGCCGGAGCCAGCAGACTTGTTTGTGCAGCCTCAACAGAGCATCACAACTGTGTTGAATCGCTTGCCAACGTTTTAAAAATCAGGAGTTTTGATAGCATTTCTTTAAGGTTCTGAAGATTGGGTGCATTCCTCATGGGAACCACCGGCCGGGGTTGGTTGACAGCGCCCCCTACAGGCAGACTCCTTTCCCACTAGGTCTGCAGTGGGCTCCGCCCCAGTCCCCCAGGTCTCTGCTCTTAGGCTGCACACTCTGCCCCCCAGAGTGCCTGTCTTGCAGGCCTCTGAATGCTCAACCTTCTGGGCTGCACTCCCAGGCAGAATCCCTGGGCTTTTCCATTTGCTATCTGTAGCACTGGCCCAGGGCTTGCCCAACCTCAACTTTCCACCTGGGCACAGAGAGAGGCAGCACCCGGGCTCTTGACTCACAAGAACTCCCAGCTTCTCTGTCCCAATTCCAAATCTAGCAAATGCATTTTTCACCTGCTCTCCCTCCAGGGGTCCACTCTGGCCTCCGACTCCTCTTGGCACATGTTTCTCTTCTACCTCAAGTAGTCTGGGGTGAGGGGTGGGTTGCAAGGTTTGGATTTTAAAAATTCTTTCCCAGATTTGTTGTGTCTAATTTGGGCTGCAAGTGGTTTTCGGTGTCAACGACTAACCAGTGTTTGGTCTGCACAGGCATTTCTGTTGAACTTGGATGGTGGTGAAAGCCCAGTTTCCCCAAATAAAGTCTAAATACATTCACACATTTATTCCCAGGTGCGTCTTTATGTTTCTGCCTGTCTCACCACACCTCAGACGTTTCCATGGAAGGGGAGGGTCCTGGAGAGAAAACGGGCAGGTAACCTGAGCTTCTAATGTAAACTTCGTCAAGACAAAAACACCAGCACTGACCCTGGACAAGGGTTGGTGGTCAAGATGCTTCCAAGCAGATGTTCACCTGAGCTTTGGGGCTGGAATTTGGTTCCCTGAAGACCTAAAGGATGGATAATGGGAAATCGAATAGGGAGATCAGAAACATAAGTGAAAGGACCACTTTAAAAAATGGTCCTCCTCCCCCCCAAGTCTAGCTGGACCTTTCAGCCACACCTGCAGCACACCAATGTATGAGACGGTTATCGCCACCGGTTTTAATAATGCTAATGCTGCAGGAGCCATTGATAAAGGGCTCATTGTGTGCTAGGGTCAACGCCGAGGGCTCTTACACGCAGACTTCCTTAGTCCTCAGGATAACTCCATGAAATCTATATGTTATCCCCATTTTACAGACAAGAAAACTGTCACATGATTGAGTGATTTGCCTCTCTTGGAAGGCAGCTGTAAGAGAGGCTCGAGGTCCAGTGGGTGGGAGCAGCCCTTTCTAATTGGAAACTGCAGAGTCAGGGTCAAGGTACTCTCACTTCTCCAGGCCAGCTGGACCACAGAGCTGGGCCTTTAGTAGAAGTTAAATAAATGTCTTTTGATTGACAAGTGCGCCTGTCAATGATTTTAGGGGCTCTTGGAAGGACTTGTGGGAGAGGTGGAAATTGAGTGTGTGTTGTATCTGTTAAACCTAGACTTGCTGCTAGTAAGATATCTAAATTAACAGCTGCAAAGCCTAGAGGGTGATTGTGTAGCATATAGAATGAAGTCTGGAGGGTTAGAATCCATGGCAATACGACACCTTCATGGTCATCAGGGATTCAGCTTGTTTTCTATCTATCTGTTCTTGGATCTTCAGCTCACAAATGAACAGGCCCAAGATCACCTCATGGTAACAAGACGGCTGCTGGAATATAGGTCTCACATCCACTTTCTAGGTAGAAATAAGGAGAACAGGGAGAAAGAACAGCCTTCCCAGAAGGCTCAATTGATTTCCACCAATATTTCACTGACCGCTTCTAACTGCAAGGGAAATTAGGAAATATGTTCATTTATCCTGACACATCCTTGATCTGAATAAAATCTTGCTTCTGTTAGGAGGAGGAAGGGAAGCACAGACAACCTTAGACTCTGTTTGCAAGATGGAGTCTTCCTTTTGGAGAAGGAGAAGGAAAAGAATTCATCAAGGCAACGCCTGTCTCATTCCTGTCCTGTGAGAGGCACAGCTTTGGAACGTCCTTTATCGTGACCTGACGATGTGGCCAATACTGGGCACCGGTGCCTTGGCACATAATTAGTTCCTGCTCTATTCAAACCCTCCTGCCCAGTGCTTGGTTGATTGCACTGACCTCTCCTTCGTTATCTGCAGCTGTTTAATGTGCCTCGAAGAACACTCGCCCTCTATTTGGCAATGAAGCCTCCGGTGAAAGACGGAGTCTGACAGGTATGAGGACAGGAGCTGGGCTGCCAGGAAGGTAGATGGACCGAGAGGTGGCTGCGGTCTTTGGTAAACATTGAGAATCACTCAGCAGCAACATTACTGCCTCTGGCTGATGCAGACCCGCCATTCCAGAAGAATCACTTCTGCTAAACAAAACACGGGAGTTTCTCGCTTTTAAAAAAAGTCTACAAGAATCGGAGCTCCTGTGGAAGACAAGTGCCAAATCCCCACTCATGTGTTTGTTCAGCTTTCCCAAACCAAACAGAAGGTACCAGTTCTCCCAAGATGGCAGCCCAGCCGCCCGCAGGTGCTCTCAGACAAGGAGGGCGCCCTGGACACGGGAAGTTCCCTGTGTCTGGGATATTTTTCCAGTTCCCTTCACCCCAGGGTGAGGAACCCAGGTCTGCAGAGGGGAAGGCCTAGGGCTTCTCCTGCTCCTTCTTACTCTTGCACAACCAGCTGAAGGGGTGCGTCACCTCCTGAGGAAGCCTCCAACGTCCACCAGGCCTGCTGGTCTCGGCCAGTCCTTGAAGGTGGTGAGAGTATCCAGGACACCGACATCCATCCCAGTCTCTGTAGGAAAACCCACTCAAAAGCGGATGAACGCTTCATGTCATCCACGCTGGGAATTTTTACAAACATCTTCCATTCTGGCTTCACTGCAAACTCCATGAGAGCCAGGAATGTGTCCTCTCTCTCTCTCCTCACTCCTTGCCCAGAATCCAAGCAGAGCTCAAGGTGTCTGAGCTTAATGATCATACGGGAAACACCACCTCATTTCTTTCTGGAACCATGTGCAACTTGGCTTCTTCCTTCCCTTTGGTTCCCAGGTTCTTGACATATTTTCTCTTGGGTAATTTTTTTGGGGTATCCTTTTAGTGATTTAGATTATATATAGTTAATTGCATGTAACTGTAGATGACCCTCCATCAAGCAGTATTATACAGGGTCAGCATGTTCCCACATGCTCTCAAATAGACTAAACTGCTCTAACAAAGAGAACTCAAATATAGAGACTTCATTAAATAAAGTAGAATGTAATTCTCACCCACATAACAGCCTAAAGGAGCCTGTGGCAGGTGGACAGTTCGCTTCCTTAAAACATGACATCCTTATCTTGGTCCCTATCAGTGGCTCCTCTAGTTTTGATCTTTCCAAAGCCAGGGAGAAGAGGGAGAGGAAATGGAGGATAATAACTTCCTCATGGATATGCAATCCACAAGGTGTACATTTCACTTCTGCTCACATCCCTTGGATCCAAATGTGTGGCATGACTCTAGTTAACCTGCAAAGGAGGTTGGGAAATGTAGTTTCTGAACAACCAGATGTCAGGAGTTGGTGCTTCCAGATACCCAATGTTAACCTTCAGGATTTACAGACAAGAAGTTGGAGTCCCTGGCAAGACTCAGAAATCCTGAAATCCTAAGCTATTCTTAGAAGACGTCAATGGACTTCGTACCGTTGGCTTATTACAATGGACAGCTAGCAACATTGGTTTGATAAATGAGAAATATTCAGTTTAACAAATTTACAGACAACTATAGCCTGTAGCAAATAATTAAGCATCAAAAAGAACTAGTGAATATTATTGTGTAATATTCAAATAATATAACATTTAGATCTTTTAGCAAAGTTCAAGTGCTACACATGGAAATTGCCAACCAAGGGCTTATTTTACTTCCCAAATTTGTTATTTCTGAGAACATTGCTAACAAGATTTGCGTAAAGCATACCTACATATAAATTTAATATTGATTTATTTCCAAGAGTGACTCTCCATTTCCAGTGGTCAGGACCATCGACATGCACACTTATAGCAGGACCAGAGCCATAGTCCTAGCCAATCGTGATCCCCTATCTCCCATGTGCTCCTGTCCTGTCCCCATGATGTCATCCTTAACCTGTCAGCATTTCCAGCTCTTATCTTTGGTTTGACATTGGTGGATTGAGCCTGTGTTGCTTCTAGGTTCGCGGTTAAGCTTTGATTTTTGCAGGACAAATACTTTTTCCATTAATTTCTTGACTAGTTTTTCTTTTAGCATTTAGAAAAATGTAAACATTTCCCAACAAATGCTGGAAAGGAATTCCCACTTGGAAAAACTCGTCCAGGTGAGTAAGTGTGGGGAGTGGAGTGGAAAGCCCTATCCTCGAAGGCAGGAGAGGATGAGCACTGAGAGATGCCTCTCCTCCATGAGCTATTAGTGAGCTCAGTGCAAAATGAAATGTAGGGGTTCTTCATTAAAAGTTATTCAAAGTATCAAGGTGGTGCCCACGGAGCACTAAACCAAGTGTTGGGTCTTTTTAACTGTGGCATCCTGTACATGTGCACAAGTCCCACACCTATAAAGCTGACCCTGTCTGATACATCACATTATTTTAGAATCCTTGTTAGTATCACTTTTAATGACAGCCTAATACTCTACTGTGCCAAAATGCCATAATTCATATTAATTTTCCTGTATCCTTGAAAAGTTTAGTAACTTAATTCAGCAGTCTTTGCTACCGTTTTTACTTGAACTTGGTGTTCTCCCTGAGCTGTGGAGCCTCAGCCTGGACACCCCAGAGGAGCTTTAGACTGCTGCTGAGATGTGGCCTGCTACCTGCATGGCTTAGTGAAGGCCGGACTAGAAGACCCCAGGACCAGATGGGTGTTCTCAGGAGGAAGGCAGCCGGTCGTGGGCAGTATTAACAGGAAAATCAAGTCCAACCTGGATCAAGATACATCAGTAAGGGCAGAATGGCAGACAGGCAAATGAGGGCTATGCTCAGAGATGGTCATGTTGCCCAGCTGAGGTCAGTTGCTGTCCTTTGCTCGGGCAGCCTGGTTCTTCTCAGTGTGTCTCTGAGCTGATCTCTCTGGGCTTTAAAGAGCCCAGGCCTGTTCAGGCCATCTCTGTCTCTGGTGGATGACTCTCTCTCATAAGCACTGGGCAGACCAGGAGCCCATGGGTTGGGGGCTACAGAAGGAGGGGATGGGCTGGATGACACATTTAGCAGGGCCAGGCCAGTATGACCAAGTGGGAGGCACTTTAGCATAGAGAGGAGAGAAGCCCAGGGGTGCCTTTGGAGCCGAGTCCTGCCCGGCACAGGAATTCCCAACCTGGATGACCTTGGGCAGCACACTTAGCTTCCTGTGCTTCTACTTCCTCACCTGTGCGGTGGGTTGATGGCTGACCTCGGGGCCATTCTTTCTTCTGCAAAGGGCTACACAGTAAATTTTTTAGACTTTAGGGGCCACAGGGGTTTTTTCATAACTACTCAATTCTGCTGTCGTAGAGGAAAACAACCACAGGCCATCTGTAAATGACAAGGAAACCGTACTTACAGAAACAGGTAGCTCGCCATGCTTCCCCGACCCCCCAGCTACTTCCCAGGACAGCTGTGCAATTAGAGACCGTGCATGCGAGCGCCTCCCCCAGGGGTGGGCACAGCCAGGGAGAGGAAGCGCTCTCCACTGACCCTCAGGCTGTCAGGACTGAGTTAACACCACGCTGGAGACGGCTTCCGCTTCCAGGGAAAGAAGATAGCCAAGAAGAATCCCGACAGCCCTTCAGACAGACAGAGTGACACACTTCTGTATTCGTCACTCTTAACTATTTTTGAAGATGGGCACTTCCCAGGATGTATTCACAGACGCATGGCTGAAACAGGAGAAGAGTCTTTGAGAGCTTTCCAGTTCTTTTTTCCCCCATATTGTACCTCCTTTTCATCTCCCATTCGTTCCCTTCTTGAATGTTCTATTGTGGTGAGAACACTTCACCTGAGATCCATACTGTCATGGTGTAGAACAGTGATCTCTGGGCACGAGGTTGTCAGCAGGTCTCCCAGAACTCGGTCATCTGCTGTCACTGAAACCTCATGCGATGGGTGGATGGGTGAGCCACACCCCGTACTCCTCTCCTCCCAGCCCCTGGTAGCCACAGTTCTGTTCTTTGCTCCCCTAAATTCGATTATTTTAGACACCTCTAGGTGATCGTAAAAGAGCCTCTTTCCTCTCCTATGTCATCAGCTTGGTGCTCCAAGGGAACACTGGGGAGGGACACTGCAGCCCCAGATCCCCTGGATAAGGGACAGGTTGGCGGAAGCTCAGAATAATGGCGCCCAGATGCCCACCCCCGCAGTTGCCTGGTCTGCCTCTGGTTTTTTTGCAGGCTTGCTCTGTTGGCCAGAAGGCAGGGGACACGGCAGCACATGCCCACCTGCAGTGATGGCTCTGTGCTCCAGGAAGGCGCTGATTTCCCCTGGGCTCGGCCACCTGGGGAAGCTGGAACTTGTGAACTCAGCCGCAGACGCAGGAGAGCCCTGGGCTGGGAGCGTTTCCGCGTTTCCAAGCCAACGCTGAAGGCTCGGGCACTGGTGGATGGGAAAGCCATTGATTTTTCTCGAGATAATAACTCCAGTGTATTTGTTCAGTGTCTTTCAGAACCAGAGCCTTGTCTGATTTTATTTCTGTTTTGTTTTGGTTTTAGTTTGTTTGCTCTGAGAGGAAAAAAGTGAACTGACTAAAGTCAAAAATCTCAGTGTTTCTTGTTCAGTGGCTCCCGGGGTCAAACGGTTGATGTCCTCCTGTCAAAAGCACTGGTTCTGCAACATGACTCTAATGAGCACCTACTGTGTGTTGTCATGGGCAGGGAGGGCTTTGGGAGGAGCATGACGTCTGGTGGCTTCTGAGAGGGCAGCCTGGCTCCTGGAGTCCATAGTCCCTCCCCAAGTGACCTCTAAGTCCTGATGACAAGTCCTCTGTCAAGAAACCAGTCAGTCCCAGACAAAAATTCCTTGGGAAACTTAGACCCAATGCTCAGCAAATCCTGTGTGTTGTCTGGCCTGATGTCTCACTTCCTGTTTCCAGTTCTTGCCTGATTCCCAGAAAGCAGGTCTCTTTCCTTCCTGTCCATCAACGGAAGGAAGGAATGGGAAGCCATGGAACATGGCACCCAATACTTTCCACCTGAGGCAGATTTTGTCTTCCCACTGCCCCAGCTTGCAAGACAATGATGCCTGTGTAACCGATGGAGACTGAGGCCCCAGAGAGTATTGGCCTGGCCTGTGGAGCCAGCTGGTCGGCAGTGGAACCTGCACTCATCCCTCTGCTGAGTGGCTCCCACCCACACCACGGCTCCCTGACTTCTGTGTTCCCCGAGGGCATCTCATCTTCTCCTTTGGGCCCTCCACCCAGGCCTTTCAAAACCAAGTAGCATCATACTTTGATTCAAGTGGGTTATGAACTCCCATTTTTACCCCATATACAGATTGCAGAATCACATCAGTTACACATCCATTGATTTACATATTGCCATACTAGTGTCTGTTGTGTTCTGCTGCCTTTCCTATCCTCTACTATCCCCCCTCCCCTCCCCTCCCCTCTTCTCTCTCTACCCCCTCTACTGTCATTCATTTGTCCCCCTTGTATTATTTTTCCCTTTCCCCTCACTTCCTCTTGTATGTACTTTTGTATAACCCTGAGGGTCTCCTTCCATTTCCATGCAATTTCCCTTCTCTCTCCCTTTCCCTCCCACCTCTCATCCCTGTTTAATGTTAATCTTCTTCTCCTGCTCTTCATCCCTACTCTGTTCTTAGTTACTCTCCTTATATCAAAGAAGACATTTGGCATTTGTTTTTTAGGGATTGGCTAGCTTCACTTAGCATAATCTGCTCTAATGCCATCCATTTCCCTGCAAATTCTATGATTTTGTCATTTTTTAATGCAGAGTAATACTCCATTGTGTATAAATGCCACATTTTTTTTTATCCATTCGTCTATTGAAGGGCATCTACGTTGGTTCCACAGTCTTGCTATTGTGAATTGAGCTGCTATGAACATCGATGTAGCAGTGTCCCTGTAGCATGCTCTTTTTAGGTCTTTAGGCTATGTAATGTTTTGAACAACCAACAATAAAAAATTAAAAAAAAAAAAACCAAGTAGCCTCTCACCACAATGCCCTTGGTGGGTCAAGAGTGCACTTGTATTCAAAGGACCGCTCCTCTCCCTCCAGATCATCCATCTTCTGGGGAATCACCAAGGCCCGAGGCCGTTCCTTCTCCCAATATGGTCCCTGGCCCAGCAGCAGTAGCAGCAGCCCTGAGGAACTTAGGGGAAATGCACATTCCTGAGTCCACCCCAGACCCACTGGCCCAGAACCTCCCAGCATAGATGCAGGAATTGTGTTTGAGTCCCCTCTCCGGGTGGCTCTTGCCATGCTCTGAAACAGAGAGCCGCTGGCTCAGATTTGATGCCCCGTGGGCTTGGATCATAGAAAGGATGGGAAAGGGGGTCATTTTTGTGTTCAAAAATTGGCAAGCAGCGCGTGTGCTATTGCTGTCTTAGAAATTCATAAGGGTGCCGTGTATTCAAGACCAGGAAGAGCTTTGCAGTGGGAAAACCCATCAGTTTGACTTAACTGGCTCCTTCTAAGCTAAATTTTTCCCTTAAACATATTTTCTTTTGCAAAATGCCTGTGGCTTTTTCAAGGAAGCAGTGATGATCGGCACTTGAGGAGGTATTGATCAACGCGTTCCCCACCTGCGCACGGCCAGAGCTGCATCTCCAAAAGCCACAGCAGACACTCAGGAACATCATGCAGATTCTTTCTTTTTTTCTTTCTTTTTTTTTTGAGAAAATCACTTTGGGATCCGCACAGACCCCAGTGTTGCACAACTCTAAGGGACAGAACCACATAAACAGGGCCCCTGCAGTCAGGTGGCACTGCAGCCTGGACCTATCACCAAATATTGAATTAATGAGAGACTGAGAAAGTTTCCACCTATCAGAGATAATTTAAAATCTAGGGGTTTGAGGAGCCCAGGGAGAGAGATTCCAAGATTTTTAACTCTTTTAACTATGTGAAAAAAATATTTCAGGATGAATTTTGCCAGTTGTAAGTATGCCAGTAAACACCATTGCATCGAATAGAGTCCTATTTTTCTCCTTGAAGCAGAGTTTGTCTTACATTTTCAAAGCTCTTAATAAAATTATGTGGTATTTAGTAGCCTCTTTCGACCCCGCCTCTAAAGACAACCAGAGAGAGTAACGGCAAGAAAATTTCCCAACTTGGAGGTTCCTCCCCTCTGGTTGGGATGGCAAGTATCTAACAGAAGAAGGGAATTTGTTGACACCGAAGTCACTGACCAAATGTTGAAGATGATATCCAAGCCCATCCGACAGAGGAGCCGGAATGCAGATGTGACTGTGGGCTTTCTATTTCCATGAATTAATTTAAGAAAAAGAAGAAAAATAGGGATTTTGTGTCTTCTTTGTGGTGCCCTAAGAACCGCATGTTTAATCAGGAGATGTTTGCCATTTCCAGGCCCCGGGCATGCCTGAGAAATGCCCCAAATCCCTTTGCATTAGATGCTGGTTCCAAATGCAGCAGGGAGCCAGGAATATTAGACACACATAAAAGTTGGTCATGGGGGAAGGTGAGCAAGGCCACCTTTGAGTTCCCTTCCGCCTGGCAGGTGCCTTTTTTTTCTCTTATTTTCAAACAAAGTTTATAATTTTCTCTTTTATAAGAAGAATACCGTCTCATTATAGGAAATTTCAATAGAATCGTAAGAACTGAAGAAACCCCCCTTCACCCAAGGAGCATCACTATTAACAGTCTCAGCTATTTCCCTCTAGTCTTTCTCCCACGCATTTTAGAAACAAAATTAAGGTCACACCAAACATACCAGCCTGATGTCAGGGTGTTACGGTAGAGTCTAGGAAGATGACCTTGCTCGTCATAATGACCCTGGGACCTAGCTCAGAGCCTAGCAGTAAATGTTGCTGAACAGAACGGCAGGGGACAGTATGGCACCCAGAAGATGCACCAGTGCTCCTGTGACCTGCCCTTGGAATCACCGTGACAGGCCATGCTGGGATTCTGCTCTGCTCACTTTTTCTAGACTGGGATTGTCATCTGTTGCAGATCCTGTCATGGATCCTACCATTTCCCCTCAGATTTCCCCAGAGGCACCTGCAGATAGTCCCTGGACAGACTGCTGGCTTCCAGTGTCACCTTTCTGAGCTTGTTGACTGGCCATGGGGGCATGCTTGGTCTACATACATGTGGGGTAGCCTGGGTGTGCCAGTGATATTGTCCCCAAGCGATTCTCCACCCATGGGACGCGAGCGGATGGACAAGTGTCCCGGTTTCTTGCTGCCCATCACGTAGACTTTCCTCTCATCCTTGCCGCCCACATTCCCCACTTCCTCTGGAAATGGCTTTGGGGATCACCTTCCAAACGAACCATTCGCACCAGACCCTTATCTCAGGCTTTGCTTCTCAGGACACCAACCAGGTCAGCGACTTTGCACCCAGACTCCGCAGCAGAATTGCTGGGCTAAGCGAGGATGAGTTGTTTAAAGATTCAGGATGCATGTTGATGGGCAAGTAATTTCCAGGTGGGGGTTTTCAGAGCTCTTCTACTAACCCTCGACTTTACTCTGAGTATCTGGACCCTGAGCTGAACCCTGAAGAAGAGGGAAAAAGTGAAGCCCGAGCCCTGAGCCTCCGGGTTGCACTGGAGGATGGTCCCGCAGTTCACTTGAGTTCGCCCTTGATGTCGCTCACTTCTCTGGGTGGTTTGCCTGGCTTGGTTTCCCTCCGTGTTCCTGGACAGAGGCCAGTGGTTATAGGATATTCTTCTTCTTTTTTTGTCTTTACAAATGGAAGAGGAGGGGGAATGGAATGCAGTGGAGAAAGACCCTGGGGGGAAGGACAAGCAAGAGGTTGCTTCAGAGCATGTCAGCCTTGGGTCTCCGTAACAACCAGAGTCCGGTATTTTCAGAAAGAATGAAAAGAAATAGACTGGACTGTAAACTGGGATTTGTCATCATGAAACCCCTGAAGTCGGTGAGGAGGGTGCACAGTTGTGTTCCAAAATACAGCTGCATGTTTGGGGATCGTCATGGTGACCTGAAAGCACGTTTCCTCCAGGGACACCTAGGAAGGAAGTTTCCTGCTGGCTTCCCTCTGGGGCTGGGGCTGGGGCTGGGGCTGCACGTGGAGACAGGACCCCGTCTGTTTTGCTGAAAATGACCAACAAATGGCTCTCTTTTGCCTAGTATTGCCTGGACGTTCCAAGAAAGCAGGGTCAGCCATTGCTGGGGGGACCTGGAAGATAGAAACTTGAGCACTTAGCTTTGGTGTCCTGGTGAGGACCCAGATTTTGCTATTTGTGCCCCCCTCTCCTGAAAACCTCTCCCTAAACCCTTCTCCCGAAGCCTGTCCCTAAACCCAATCCAGGCGGTCCTCACCTTCCCCGTCCTGCCTTCCCTTTTCAGAGCTACTTTCTGGACCCAGTTTATACGTAGCCCTCTCCCTTCTCCTCTGAGAATAAACCGTCCATTCTGGCCTCACTGTTTCCTGCGACAGCTCACAGGCTCCCCTGAGTTCATCAGAGACCCAGAAAGGTCCACAATGAGATCAGCTTCTTCTCAGGGGGTGACATTGAGGGAATGGCTGTGGATTTTCATGCACTATCATGACTATTTTTTAAAAATGGCAAATGGGTTGACAACGCCGCTATTTGTGAGTGATTGTTGGGTAGATCCTTTAAGATCCCTTGAGCTCATTTTCCTACCTTGCCCAACGGGGTCTCTAGCACTTCACAGGCTCCTGGCTGGGAAGTGAACCAGATGCCCTGTGGTTTTCCTGGACTTGCAACATGTTTGCTCTTTGTGAGGAAGTGGAAGGTGTGGGCCCAGCCCCACGGCACAAAGGAGGGTAAACTGAGGCCCGAGCAGCAAGGATCTGGATGCCAGCTGC